TTATTTATGTATACAAGAGCTGGGGTGTGGGCCACAGGTGCGTGTGTGTGTGTATGTGTGAGAGAGAGAGAGAGACAGAAAGACAGAGAGGATTCACCAGAGACAGAGTGGGGAGAGTGGGGAAGCAGAACAGGTGAATCGACTAATATACACTGTTGAGGGGAGCAGCCAGCGAGCGAGACAGGAGAGGTCTGCTGCGCCAGGTGGGTTATCTCCCTGGCTGGGGATTGAACTCGAGCTGCCGTGGCTGGTGTTAGCTTGATAGTGCTGAGACTTTAGCTGGGGGCCATCAGGGAGGCCCCCAATTTGGTTGAATCTTAAAGTGAAACAAAATAATGAAAGAAGTCAAATAACATACTATACGTAGTTCCAAACCAGGCAAAGTGAAACAATATTGTTTAAGGATATATGATCAGGTAGCAACTTACAGAAAAACAAGGAAATCAACAGGACAGTCAGGAATGTGCTGATGCTGTCAGAGAGAGGGGGAATATGGTTTGGCTAGGGACATATGGGGAAGGGACTTCGGAGGGGCTAGACATATTTTATTCATTCATTCATTCATTCATTCATTCATTCATTTATACAAGCACTGGGTACAGTCAGAAGCGCGGGAGGGTGAGAGAATTCACCAGAGCCAGAGCGGGGAGCAGAGCAGGCAGAAGGACCGAAGTACACTGCTGAGGGGAGCAGCGGGCGGCAGGAGAGGTCTGTGCGCCGTGTGGGACCCTCACCGGCGGGGATTGAACCGGCGCTGCAGAGGCTGCGGGTAGCTTCGCAGCCCAGCACTCAACCGCTGCGCCACCGGGGAGGCCCTAGAAATATCTTTTTTATAAAATAATTTATTTGGAGGCCTCCCCGGTGGCGCAGCGGTTGAGCGCTGGGCTGCGAAGCTGCCCGCAGCCTCTGCAGCGCCGGTTCGATCTCCGGCTGCTCCCCGGCCACCGGAGGAGGGTCCCACATGGCGCGCAGACCTCTCCTGCCCCACCCGCTGCTCCCCTCAGCAGTGTATTTCGTCAGTCTGCCTGTTCTACTCTCCGCTCTGGCTCTGGTGAATCCTCTCACCCTTCCGCACCTCTAACTGTACCCAGTGCTTGTATAAATAAATAAATCTTTAAAAAATAATAATTTATTTGTTAAATTGCATTTAGGGTTTTGGCACTCTTCTGTTTGCTTGTTATATTTCACATGTAAAACAAACACATTAAACAAAAAAAAAGGGAGGGGCCGTCTGTGTATTGGAGCCAAACAAAGCTGTTTAACCCTTGTAGGGGCAGGAGGACACGGAGCAGGATCTTTATGACTCCAGCAGACGGGGGTAAAGGAGGAGTCCTGAAGCCCTCGGTGGCTTTTGCAGGCTTTTATTGGGATTTACCAAGTAAATCCCAGGCAGGGGTCCTGGGGGGGCTGGGAGGCCTGCCAGCCTGTCTTCACTCTTTCTGGGCTCTCCGATGTTCTCTCTGCTTCTCTGCTCTTGGCTTCTATTGGCATCCCTGTGACGCTGCCCTTAAAAAACCAGTCTCAGCCCAGGTGAATCCCATCTACATATGGCCACACCCGACTCCAGGTGCCCGCCATCAGGCATGCATTCAGGACCGCAGGGTTCTGTCATCTAACCTAATGGCGGGAGGGCAGAAAAGCCTAATACTTTTATCTTACCCTACAACCCTGGACACATTAAAAGGGGGCAAAACGATTATAAATCCCTCTTGAGGATGATATGAAACAAATAAAATATTTGATTTTTCCCTCTACGAAAGGAATTAGTTTTAGTTGAAGGGAAACTGCAAAAAAAGCCACTAAAGGCATCAAAATGATCTTTATTTATTCAGGTGTTGTGCTATAAAATATTCTAATCTGTGTTGTTAGTGAAGCCAGGTGTATAATTGTAGGGTAAGGAAAAAAATGTTAGGTTTTTCTGCCCTCCCGCCATTGGGATAGATTGACGGAACCCTGTAGTTCTGAATGCATGCCTGATGGTGGGAACCTGGAGTAGGGTGTGGGCATATGTAGATGGGATTCACCTGGGCTAGAGACTAGACTTTAAAGGGCGGCGTCACGGGGATGCCAGAAGCAGAACAGAAGCCGAGAGCAGAAGAAGCAGAGAGAAGGCAGGAGAGCCCAGAAAGAGTGAAGACTTGCTGGGGGCTGGGAGGCCTGCCAGCCTCCCGGCCCCCCAGCACCCTTTCCGGCTGTGTACCGGGTAAATCCCAATAAAAACCTGAAAAGCCACTGAGGACTCTGATTTGTCCTTTACCCGGTTTGCTGGATCATAGAAAACCTGCTCAGCAATCATTCCTGCCCTACAATAATCTAGTAAACTGAACAAAGAGTTTAGTGAGGCTAAAATCTAGTCTACTTAAGTGATAGTTTCTGCTTTTTCACTTTTCCTCTATCCAATGTGAAAAGATGCTGGCTCTCTTGCTATAGAATTGTTTTATTACAGGACTCAGTCTTTACCCATTCAAAATGCAAGTCTTCCATCTTTGTGAAACTCATTACACAAAATTGGGAGAATCCTAAAGACAGTAATAATGACTTATACAAAGAATTCCAATTAGGAAGCAAGTACTATTTTAGGCAGTTTGCAGTTATTAAAACATTTCAACACTATCATCCTTTGAAGATGTCCTTAATTTGTGACACAAGATGATATTACAGACTCACTTTGTATATTCTCTGCTGTAGTTTTGGAGTCTCTGTCATTTTTCCAAAAAGCCCTGAGACCTTTTCATAGAGAATGGTACTTAGAAGCCAAGATCTAGACTTGCTTATTGCTATAAATGTATCATCGCTGTTAGGCCCTCATAGCCGACAGGACCAGGAAATACACACAGACACACGCCCTTACATTTATCTCTATTATATTAAACGCCATGAGTTGTTGCTAATACCATTCAATTCCAGTCCAACAGCAAAGAGTTCCTTCAAGCTTTTTCCCTTTCCATCTTTGTAACTCCCTTCTCCAGCATTGAGAAACCTATTTTTGTCAAAGCTTATAATGAGTGTATTGCTGTTCTGAAAAAATATTTTCCCCACTTCTATTGTTCTTTGTTTTCCCAGAACTATAAAAACCTCTCAAGTTTTCATTTATTTTGGCCATTCAACCAACAAATACTTATTGAGCAAATACTATGTGTCAGATAATGTTCAGTGCTGGGGCTACAGCAGTGAACAAAAAACATCTTACTGGTGAAAGAAACATGGAAAGAGAGAATAATAGGGACAAAGCTAGGGGATAGCAAAGCTGGGGTCTGAACCCAGACAGCCTGACTCCAGAATCCATGCTACACCATCTGCCTTTGATTGTTTGTGCAATTTGCTCTTCTACAAAAGTTTACAGCTCTCTTGAATCCAATAAAAATGCCTATGTCCATTTCTAAGTCTACATAATACACAGCGTTGTGCATCTTCTGCATTGCTTAATTCCTCTGAGACTCAGTTTCCAAACTGGTGAAAATAAAGATATTAGTCTTGACCTACTGTGAGGATAAATGACATTATACGAGATGCCTGGTATTATTTGTGACACATCTTATATATGAGTGAAAATAATTTCCCTTTTCTTTTTCAACACAGATGCTACATCAGAACAGAGTCCTTTTTCTCTTTCTAATCTATTCAATCATTCAGTTACACATTTCATTCAATCTTATGCCCATTCAACAAGTATTTATCAAGAATCCAATAAACACCAGGTTCTGTGCTAGTCACCAGGGATACAGAAATGGCACAGACTCCATCCTCAAAGAACTCAGCCACATCCAGAGTCACACAATTGTGATACAATCAGATAAGTAGTTCAAATGAGACCTGGGAGAAGGTAGTCAAGGAAGAAGTCTTCCTGAAGGGGCTCTGTCATGGCAATGACAGGTAGTTAGTGCAGTTAGTGTTGATAAGAATGAATGAATAAACATATGTGTGGCTGAATCAATTCAGGTCAACCAATATTTCATAGAAGATCCCACTGTCCAAGGCGTGTTCTCTGAACTGGGAGTGCGGAGGAAGAAGCGGGCAGCATCATCCTTTCCCGAGTTTCTAGTTTTACTGGCAGGCACAGACATCTGTAAAGATATGTTCAATCCAAGTTGAGAATTTTGTGAGGTAGGTGAGTTTTTGTGATAGTAAGAACATGAGGAGAGGACTAAAGTTTATTAATGTAGGCTTCCTAGAGTGAACTTGGGAAGCTTGACAACAGCTAGTGGATGTATAGGCGTCATTGACTGTTTCTAACCAGCAGAATAATATGGTCAAATTTGTATTTATGTGTCGGATGGCTGTTGGAAACGGAGAAGTCTAAATCAATAACATTGGCACTGATGCTGAATTATGAATTCAGCTTGAAATCAGACTTTTGATCCGGAGATAGAATTTTGCAGTCGTTGCAATTACTTGGGGAAAGAATGTAGAGTGAAGAGAGGCCGCGAGGAAAAGCAGCCCTGGAAGGACACTTGAAGAGAAGAGTCAGGGGAGAAGTAGGAGAGAATGGGTGTCCTGGAAAACAAATGGATTAGGGGGACACGGGAAGAATCAGGAAGGAGGAAACGATTGTGCTCAGCGCTTTACAGAGGTCCGAAAAGCGTCCATTTGATTTGGCCACAGGTGACCTTTGCCAGAGCACTTTCTATGTTGGAGGTAGCAGCTGGAGTTCCGGCACTAAGACGCAATAAACGAGTGAGCGAGTAGAAAAACTTGGTGAGTTCAGAAAACGAGTAAGTCAAGAGCTGTGCCCTCACTTGCCCTGACAGTTTCCAGGCCTACGCCGTCAGGAGTTGGTGCAGAGGAAGGCCTTCCCGACAGGCCTCTGGATGCAGCCTAGGAAACCTGTCAGCCCTCGCAGCCCTTGGGTAGGCGCCGCTCCAAGGTCAGGCTCACCTCGGGCCTCCAGGCTACCCGTCACCTTGACGACCAGCTGAAAAAACCGGAAAGGACGGAAGCAGACAGATCATCTCGCGATATCTGGCGCGCCGGCGCCGGCCTTCCGGGCTCGGGCCCTTCGGCCAGCTCTCGCGAGACTTGCCTGGCGTCGGCGCGCGGGGCCTGGCCGTAAAGGAAGCTGGAGCTGCGGGTGGGGAACATGTCGGAGTCCGACCTCGGCAGGAAGTGGGACCGGTGCATGGCGGACACGCTCGTGAAGATAGGTAAGGGGCCTTTCGCCCCGGGAGGCTTCTCCCGGACCCGACCACCCGGCCTCAGGCCCCCCTGACTCGGAGGGCGGAAGGGAAGCCCGGCGAGAGGTCAGACCCGGGCCTGTCCCAGCCCCTCCGGCCAGAGCGAGCCGCCGAGCCCGGGCAGGTCACCCGGCCGGCCGGACACCCGCGCCGGGGGGGCCTGGGCCGCCGCCGGGAGCGAGGAGGGGAGGCGGGGGGTCGGTCCGGCAGGTGGCTGGAGAGTTGCTGAGGTCTCTGAGTGAAAAGCTGTATGCTGGGCACGGGCTGGTGCCAGAGGCTCGAGATTGCCCTCCCTGGTGCCGCCACTCGTCCCGCACGGGGCGTGGGGCCTAGTCAGGAGGCCACATTCCTCTCAGCTGAAACAAAAGTGCCTTCTTTCATGAAGAAGGTCATCGGGAGCATTTTATAGACCCCGCCAGGCTCTAAAGTCAGTTGCTGTCATACCCGAGTTGTAACCTGGTTTAGCAGACAGTGATGGTGATCCGGAAAGTAAGAGGTGGGTCACTTTTCATTCTTTGATGTAACCCTGCGTGGCCTTTCAGCATGTGCTCAGTGACGACACAAATTATGAGGTCGGTGCACAGAGGGGAGGGGAGGGGTCGACAGGGGAGAGAGGGAAACTCATTTTTGAGCTTGTGCGAAGTACCAGCCACTGTGCTGGGTTAGCAGCTTAATTCGTTGTCTCATGCAGGACATTTAACTGAGAGTCAGGTGAAACGATATGCCCACGGTCGGATAAATGACAAAGTGGGATATTTAACTCAACTTTTCTGGCTTCAAGTCCCATATTTTTTCTTAGATACTAATTTTTATTATCCAAATTTGATGTTTTTTTTTTTTAAAGATTTATTTATACATATAAGAATGGGGGTACAGGCAAGAGGTGTGGGGAGGGGGGGCGAGAGGATTCACCAGAGACAGAGTGGGGAACAGAACAGGCAGACTGAGTGAAATACACTGCTGAGGGGAGCAGCTGGCCAGACAGGAGAGGTCTGCTGTGCCATGTGGGTAGCTCCCCGGCTGGGGATGGAACTTGTGCTGCAGTGGCTACAGATAGCTTCATAGGTTGCATCTTAATCCCTTGCGCCACCAGAGAGGCCCCAATTTGATGTTTTTGAGTGAAAAAACTTAAGAGCATTTAAGAGAGTTTAGGATTGTGTCCTTGAATGAAAATATTGAAAAAGAAATAGGCTTGTAAACTCCAGGAGAGCAGGGGTGCATTCTGGTATATTCACCAGCCATTAGAGGAGTGCTTAATAAAAATTGTTGAGAATGAAGTGATTTATCACAGTTACCACTTCACCCTCGAATTCACCACTTTCCAGCTGTGAGACTTGGGGCAAGTAATTTAACCTCGCAGTGCTGTTTCCATATTTGTAAATTGGCAGTTAGTAAATTATTAGTACTTAGTGGTACTAGTAAATAGTACTATCACACAGTTGTGAAGATTAAATGAGTTAGTTTATGTACAAACTTGTGTGTAGATCATTCATTAGAAAATGGGTTATTTTGGATCTGACCAAAGAAATAGCGTTTTTGTTATTGTTTGCAGTGAACCTTTAGTGGGGAAGGCTTAACACCTAGGCATGAGGTGACTAAAGTAACACTAGTCAACAGTTTTTATTAAGCACTCCTGCAGGGGCAAGGCACACTGTAGCAAATTCCAGAATGGAATTTACAATCATATTTCTTTTACAAAGTAATTACTAAGCAATATGATACAGTAGTTAAGAATGGACTTTGGATGTAGATAGTGGAGTTTTAAATCACACACTCTTCATCCCACCCTCACAAATTTGTGTCTTTTGATAAATCTCTAATTTAGCTATGAAATGGGGATAAGGAGACAGATTATCTAAAGGAAGAGAATTGAAGGGCAAAAAAAAATTAAAGATACTTAGCACAGTGCATGACACTCATTAAGTATTCAGTCGATGGTGTTAGTAATAATTGTTGATAGTCAATTTATTGTGCCACTGATGAGAATCTGAGGAGTGGGTATACTAAATTAAAGGAGACAGGGCCTCCCCGGTGGCGCAGCGGGTTGAGCACAGCGTTGTGAAGCTGTCCGCAGCCTCTGCAGCGCTGGTTCGATTTCTGGCCTGCCAGGGAGATTCCCACATGTGCCGGGGACCTCTCCTACCTTTCTGGCTGCTCCCCTCAGCAGTGTCTTTGGTCCCAATGCCTGTTCTACTCCCCACTATGTCTCTGGTGAATCCTCTCACCCTCTTGCGCCTCTGGCCTGTACCCCAGCTCTTGTATAAATTAAAAAAATAAATCTTAAAAAAAAATAAATGAGACACAGTGACGTGATTACAGATGAACATTGAAATGAATGATTCAGGCTCTTTTTGCTGCAGAACTGTTAAGTGTAAATCAGCCGAGTTGAGGTTATTCACTAAGAGTTTGTCAGGAAGATGGACCTTCATCTGATATTTGGAAAATGACTTGGACTTGAATATTAAGGGTGGTGGAAGAACTAGAGCAGAAGCTGAGTCGAGCATTTATAGAGGAGGAAATTGAAACAGAGAGGTTAAGTAGGTAGAAGTGGATCGAACTCGTGCTGCAGAGGCTGCAGATTGCTTCGTTGTGTGTTGCTTAACCCCTTGTGCCACCAGGGAGGCCCTGAGTAATGTCCTTTTTTAAGAAAGATGTTATTACATTTTAAATCATAATGCATATCTACATCCTTACTTTTTGTAAATATTTTCTTTCTCAAATTGTTAAGTAAATGTCTAGTATTTGTTTTTGTCATTCTTTATTGACTATGCAAAATCCCTTTGAACTACCTCCATTTCATCCTTATGGGTGGATAGTGTCCGTGTGGCTGTACCACCTCTTGATCCGGTCATCTACTGCTGGACCTATTTCCATGTCCTCCCTCTTGTAAATAGTGCTGCCTGTAGTGTTCTGTGTTGGTGGTTTCATGTTCTTTGGATAGATGGTCAAGAGTGGATTACTGGGTTGTACAGTATTTTCCATTTTTCTTTTTTTACAGATAAATCCAAATTACTTTATATAATGGCTCCACCACTTTACATGTCCACCAACAATGTTAGCGGGATCCTCTTTCTCTCCATCCTGTCCTGTTGGAAGTCTTTAATATGTGCCGTCCTCATTGGTGTGTGATGGTGTCCTGTTGTGATTTTAACCTGCATCTCTTTTTGGAGGTGATGCTGAGCATTTTTTCACACGTCTGTTGGCCTGGATATCCTCTTTAGTGAATTGTCTGCTACCGCCTTATTAATTGGATTATTTTCCTGTAGTTTTTGCTTTTCAGTAAAATTCCTTACTCTTCCTTCTATCTTGAATATTAAACTTGCAGGGTAAAAGATTCTAGGCTGGAAATCTTTTAAAGTACTTTAAATATCTCCTGCCATTCCTGCTTGCTTGTAGTGTTTCTACTGAGAAGTCCGATGGCAGTCTGACTGGTGTTCCTTTATAGCTTACCCTTTTTTTTTCTTGATATTTTAGGTATTCTGTTCTTGTCATTAGCATTCAGCAGTTTTATTATAATGTGTCTTAGCATATGTCTGTCTGGTATTATTTTGTTTGGAACAATTTGAGTGTCTTGGAGCACAGCATCTGGGTTTTTTCAGGATTGAGAAGGTTCTCGGTATTTCTTTAAATTTGCTGTGCCTTTTTCTCTTCTTCTGGGACCATGATATGGATGTTATTTCTCTTAGGTTATCTCAAAGGGCTCTTGCACTATTTTCAGTTTTTAATTCTTTTTTGTCTGTTTTGTGTGTCTTTCAAGCTCATGAATTCTCTCCGTTGGCTTGTTTGTCTGTTGTCAAGACCCTCTTTTTTTTTTTTTTTTTTTAAATTTGGTTGCCCTATTTTTAGATCCATTTGCTCTGATGGTAACTGCCTCATATTTTCTTGGTCTTCATTCTGTTCCTGTTACATCACCCATTGTTTTTTTATTTCTTTTCTTTAGTTCTGTGAGCATTGTTGTAACTGTTACTCCTCTTAAGGCATATTTCATAGTTGTGTTAGATTGTGACTTCTCAGGAATTTTTTTTTCCTCCAGTATTTATGATATGTTCTTCTGTCTCTTCAGTTTAGTATCTGTAAATTATAATAGGGATAGACTTTCAGACTGCCGCCTTTGCGCCTGTAGAAGTGACTGGAGAACTAGTGCTGGCAAGGGGTAATAGGTAGAAATGAACCAGCGTGGTAAGGTGCTGCGGGGTCACCTCCAGTGAGCATCAGGGGTTCAGACTTCCTCCTGTGTGGTGGGTACGGGGAGCTGCGTGGTGGGGAACCACAGTGAGCCCATCCTCTGCGCCAGCTCCTCCACCTAAGTGCCTCCTACGGTCTCCTGTTAGCTTACCCTCTAGGCTGTGTTGAGACAGGGTCATGAGTGCGGGGCGTTCTTTTCCAGCACAGACCCTTATTTGGGTGTTTTCTCTTGTTGTTAACAGCCACTCATTCTCTGTTTAGTAGAAAGTATTCCATTATTTTCCTAGGTTTTAGCCTAGTAGGGGGAAGGGCGGGTGGCAGATGTTTAAATATCCCAGCCTCAGGCTGCAGGTAGTTTCCTCTTTGAGGAGTCACAGGTGATCTGACCTGGTTTGCCCCATCAGTTCAGGTTCCCACTGTTTTGTACTGGGACCTCAGGCTCAAGCCAGCGATCATCACCCTGCACCCGGCTCCTTTGGTTCTCCCGGCAGCGTGCCTTCCGCCTTGGACGCCAGCACTGTGCAGCTTCTTATCTGGCGCAGTGCTGGTCTCTGAAGTTGCCAGTGTGGGGGTGTGTTCCCAGGAGTCAACAACTGTAGGGCACCCTGTACAGCAGCCACCCCTCCCTCTTCTGGGTTGTAATGCCCCGTTGTCAACACAGTTCAGGTAAAGTTTTGCCTGCTTCTTTCTGACAGACCATCGCTTTTGATATGAGCTGTGGTTGTCATTTTATCTTTCAGGGGTTATTGGCTTTGTGCTGCTGCAGTCTAGTCATGAGCATACGG